ACATATACACATCTATTTTCATAATTATTAATCATTATTAAATCAAGTTTATTAATTACTAATATTCCAGTTTCTTCAAATAATTCTCGTTCAGCAGCCTCTTTAATTTCTTCATTATCTTCAACTTTTCCACCAGGTGAACCATATAAATTATTATAAAGTTTACCTAATCTTTTTGATATTAATATTTCTCCATTTCTTTTATATGGTATTACAATGACGTATAACGTTTTTTTAGAATTTTTTTTAATTATTTTAATAATATCAAATACTAAAAATATAGTGTTTAGTATTAAAATAATATCAATAATAAAATTCATCATTTTTTTATTATTTATTTTTTTTCTTTCAAATAATGATTATTTATAAAAATTAATATTATTAATTATGAAATCTATATAACTATCTTTTTAGTTTTATTAAATAATTAAAAAAATGATTAATCTACCACCAGAAATAATTTATAATATTTTTTTATTTGATGAAAAAAAATTCAAATATATACTACTCAATAAATGGTATTTTAATTTTTTAATAAAACCATTATGGAATACCTTGAAACCAAAAATCACTGATAAAAATATATTTGAATTAATTATTAATTTAACTCTTGATGAATATGAAATATATTATTTCAAAAATATCGAATACAAAATACCATTTTCAAATTACTTAAAATATATTATTAATATAAACCATGAAACAATTATTGCTTTATTAAGTAAATATATTGAATATAAATATATTACTAAAATTATATATTTATCCTTAAAAATTAAAAATAAAATATTATTAGAAAATAAAAATATTAACTATACAAATTATAAAAAAATTACCAGAATAGATATTATTAATATAATTTTAAAAAATAATATTAATTATTAATTACTTTTTTTTATAAATAAAGACTTTATTAATATTAAAATTTAAAAATTCTAATCTAAAAAAAAAATGTTTTATTCAGAAACAGATTTTTTACTTTTAATTGGAAATCTTAAAACTCTAAAACTTACAAATTCAAAAAATTTTTATCATAAAGATAAAAATGAATATCAATTTACTTTTGAATATAGTAAAAAAATAATTTTAAAAAATAATTCAAATGAAGATAATTTAAATAAAGATAATTTAAATGATAATATTTTAAATGATAATATTTTAATAATAAAATTAAATTCATTTGAAAATATTAATTCAACTGAAAATATTAATTCAAGTGAAAATATTAATATTAGTAATAATAATATTAACAACAATAATTATTTAAATAAATTTAGTAATAATATATCTGATCCTATTACATATAAAAATAATCCATCCAAATTTATTGCTAGTGAATTAATTGATCTTTTTGCTCATAAACTATGTGAAAACACTGATATAAAACAAAAATTTTTTAATTCAAGAATTTTACGTTTTATTATATCACATGAAAAAATTCTTGATATTAGAAAATATATAAAATTAAAAAAAATAATTATTTTAGATGATTATAAACAATTTAAAACACAAGAAGTAAAAAAAGAAAATGAATCTAAAGAAGAAAAAGAATTAAAAAATATTGTTAATTCATTAGATAATCTTAATCTTAATGAAGATAAACAAAAATTTAAAAATTACAGTGTTGCTTTAAAAATAGAAAATCTTTTCAAAAATATTGAAGAAATTCTCTCTGAAGAAATCGGCAATAAAAAAGAATTTAATGAAACTTTTAAAAATCTTTTTACTAAAATATATCAACAATTAGAAATAAATATTGATAATAATATCAATAATAATAATAATAATAATAATAATAATATTAAAAATAATATCAATAGTAATAGTAGTGATAAAAATAATAATACTTTTACTAATAACAAATCAAACTTTAATAATAATAATTATAATATACCATATATTAAACCAGAACCAATTGAACAAAATAGTTTATTACAAAATAATCCTAATAATGATTCTGGTGAAATAGAAATGACTATAGATGATGAACTTTAATTTTATTTATTTATTTTTATATTAGAATATATTTTATTTATTATATATTTATGAAATTATCAATATTAATTAATTAAATTTTTTTATTAAATAAATCAATAAATATTATACTATTTTTAAATTATCTAAACTATTACAAATGTCATCTAAACTATTGATATAATATGCTTGTCTAATATAATAAAGTATTTTTTTTGTATTTTCAAAAAATTTTTTAGTTACTTTTTCTACTTTATCATCTACTATTTGTTCTAAATGTCTATATGCTGATTGTAATTCTATAAGTTTTTTATTATCAAGACTTATAGACCATTCCATCTTTTGTGTCTTTACTAAAAAATATTCACCTAACATATTAATTTGCTTATTTAATTCATTAGAATAATTAACAACTACCATATCATTAGCAAATCTTAATTTATTGACATCATCGTGAATTTTTATTCTTTCACTAATAATAAATATTCCAAATATAGGTATTTTATATTCAGATAATTTTTTATCTAATTTTTTAATATCATTTATCATATCAGCTTTCCAATAACTATGAGTACAATATTTTTTTTTACTAACACAATTATCACATATACTACGAAATTTACATTGTACTAATAATGGATAACCATTCCAATTACAAATTATATCAGTTCCATCATCTCCAAATAAACTATATTTTCCAACATTAATTACTTCTAATCCATCTACTTTTTCATCTTTTAATAAAATTACAAATCCTGAACGTAATAATTTATTATCTCAAAATAATAATCGTCTATCATTAATTAAATAATTTTTAACTACTTTAGGTTTTAATTTATGTCTTTTTAAATAACATGCTACTTTATTTTCAAAATTATCACCGGAAACTATACATGAATTCTCTGAAGTATATTCAAATTGAGCACATTTTGACTTTTCATATCTTGTAACCATTTTTTTTAATAATTAATTAAATAAAAAAAATATAATAATACTTTATTTATAATATTTTAAAATACTAAATATTAATAATAAAATTAAATAAATTAATAATATAATTATTAAAAATAATTATTATTATTTTAA